TAGTTGTTAATGCTAATGTTTTAGATTCTCTTGGGTTCATCTGTACGTAAAAATCTTGCTTCCTCTTAGCCAATATTTGGCTTGTCAGTATAATGGGAAAAGCTGTGCAAATTAGAATCACAGAGGGCTTGTCTACCCTCCCTCCAGGCCACCCTTCTTTCATCCCCAGAGCCTGAATGCAAATAAGGATTTCCACAGTCTGAAGCCCAGATCTTCCTCTGCAGTGGGGCTCTGCCCTGCTGGGAGCTGTTGGGAGTTGGACATAGCTGCCTATGAAGGATCTGCTCTGGCCTAGACATGAGCTCCATTTCATCTGGAGCACTGTTGTTCGTGTCATCTGCCCCAGTTCCCCCAAGGGTCTTGGCGACATATGCTGGATCTGCTTTGTGTTGTGTAAGGGAACTCCTCTCTTTTCTCCACAGATCTTGCTGGTGTTTGTGACCTGTTCTGGGTTATGCCCGGCCCTGCTTGCTGTGTGGCATATGGAATATGTTCCATGGTTGGCAAGGATCTCTCGCATGGTAAGTGGGATTTGTTGGATATTGCACATGGGAACTTCTGTCCTGATCCCAAATTTCTCCATGAAGCACAGGATCTGCCCTGTGGAATGTGCTTTAAAAGGCAGCCCTCTCTGTCCTGACAGAGATGCCCCAAGCTAAGCTCTGGGATCAGGACGAATGTGAAGGAGTGGACTGGCGGTGCACAGGGAAGTAGACTGGAATGTTCTAGAGCATTCATTCCCCTGTTATTTGTGCAATCAGACTGTGGCTTTGTACTCGAAAGGCCACTACTGTGCCCTAGAGAGGCACCAGAGGATTGCCTGGAGTGCCCACTGTGGCTGAGATGGACCTCTCTCCTTATTTACATTTATAATGATAGCCACAGCAACACGTTCGTTTACTCAGTGGCTACTACATCGCAAGCATTGCCCCAAGTATTCTACCCATGAAATCTTGTTAGTCATCACAACCTGTGGAATTAGTGCGACCAGTCCCAAAAGTCGGGTCACAGGAGAGGGTAGGTGATCTCCTGAAATCACATATCCAGGAAATGGCCAAGCTGGAATTGGAGGCTGGTTGGCTCCTCAACACATGAATGCAATTTCTTTTGTCATTAGCCTGGTGATTTTCCCTTCAAATAGACACAGTGGATGCTGATTTTGCCTTTATCAGCAGCTGGTCCTGGACCCAGAACTGGAAATCAGTCTTGACATACAGGGAACTGATGTTGAAGAAGGCAAAACATCTCTTTGATTACTGACTGCGCAGGTCACTTACAAGAGTGGACGCCTCATCAGAAACCCTCAGGTGTGAGACGACATCTGTTTCTAGGAGTGTAGTGGGTGTACACAGAATAGGAGCCAGCCTCTCTGCTGGTTTGGGTTTTGTATCTGCTGTTTTGTTTTTCTAACATGATTCTCCACTAAAACCCCCATTTAACATCAAAAGCATCAAAAAAAAAAATCCTAGGCAAGTCATCACCCCAGTGGTTAATCAATCCAGAAAAATATATTTAGCACCTACTGTGTGTCCAGCATTTCAACCCCATGGTGTTGATTAAAGCAGGAAGCAAGAAGTCACAGCTGCTGAATTTTCACTGTAGCCACCCTGCTCTTTGCTACATCACAAAGTCACATGCACATCATTCAATCAGCCATTTGCTGAGGACCTCCTGCCGCTGGGTGCAGCTCTGTGCTGGGTGCTCCAGAATACAGGGAAGGTATAAGGTAGTTTGTTTGGCAAAAGGGGTCCAGGCAGCCAAACAACAATACTTGGTTCTGGTTCTTGATAGAGGTTAAAGGTAACAGTGGTTGTTACCAAGAAACATAACTTAGTGCTCAGTTGTGGGGGAAAGACTCTAAGTGTTGTATGGTCCAGGGGATGATTTGGAAGAACTGGGCTGGTCAGGATGGCTTCCTGGAGGAGGCCAGTTTCAGATTGGACCTGAGGAATGAGGAGGTTTTTATGGGAGGCTGAGGAGCCCAGATTAGCCAGAGCAGAAGGCAGGGACCAGGAGGGCAGAGGAGGTAGGATCCCCAGACTGGGGGACTCACGGTGTGATAGTTTCTGAAACATGACTTGTTGTTAGCAATCATTTCCTTTGGGTGGGAATGAAAGTGTGTTTTCCTTCTCTGCCCAAATCAATGGACGATTAGAGTCTAAGATTCAGAATAAAACCAGTGGTATCTCTCTCTCTCTCTCTTTTTTCATTCTCAATGGCAGGAATTCAGCACCTTTTTTTAGTACCACTTTTTTTGCAGGTGGCAGAAGTACTAATTAGACAGAGCCACTAACAATTTTCCTGGGTGGTTCTGACTCCCAAACTGACAGGAAAGCCTGTTTGGGTGTTTTAGAGAGAGCACATTCTACTCTTCCCATTGATAAAGTGATTCTTCAAACACAGTGGTCAAAGAAAT